TGATACAACCACCATGGGAAACTCTTTGGTAATGTCCACCAAAGCTGAACACAGGGCCACTCTACGCCCCAGCGATGCCACGTCCAGGTGCATACCCAAGGGCATGGCATCCCTGTGTTCCCCAGAAGACATGCACACAAATGTTCACAGCAGCACTATTTATTTATTCATTCATTCATTCATTCATGCATTCATTGAGTGCAGTGGCATGATCTCAGCTCACTGCAACCTCCACCTCCCGGGCTTAAGCAATTCTCTTGCCTCAGTGTCCCCAGTAGCTGGGATTACAGGGGTGCACCGCCATGCTAGGCTAATTTTTGTATTTTTAGTAGAGATGGGGGTTTCACCATGTTGGCCAGGCTGGTCTCAAACTCAAATGATCCACCCGCCTCAGCCGCCCAAAGTGCTGGAATCACAGGCATGAGGCTTTTAAATACATAGTTCAGTAGTGTTAAATACATTTGCACTGGTGTTCAACCGATCTCCAGAACTCTTTCATCTTGCAAAACTGAAACTCTGCTCATTCAGCAACTCCCCTCCCCTGTCCTCTGGCCCCAGGAATGCTCATTCTCCTTTCTGTCTTTTTGAATTCGACTACTCCAGGGACCTTGCTATTTATCTGTGGCCTACTCTACTGAAATATGCTCTTTAAAATATTTACCTTTAGCATATTCTTTTTGGTTAGTTTTTACCCTGGTTTACATGAAATATGTTTTTCAAAAGCAAATTTTGTCCATTGTTGACAAACCAGTGTTTATATTTTATTGTTGTTCAGCTTGTAGAAATATCTTGGTGAAAAGTATGCAATTGGCTGGGCATGGTGGCTCACACCTGTGATCCCAGCACTTTGGGAGGCCGAGGCAAGTGGATCGCTTGAGGCCAGGAATTGGAGACCAGCCGTGGCCAACATGGTGAAACCCTGACTCTACTAAAAATACAAAAATTAGCTGGGCATCGTGGCTCACACCTGTAATCCCAGCTACGGGGAGGCTGAAGCAGGAGAATCACTTGAACCCGGGAAGTGGAAGTTGCAGTGAGCTGAGATTATACCTCCGCACTCCAGCCTGGGTAATAGAGTGAGATTCTGTATCAAAAAAAAAAAAAAAAAAAAAAAAAAAAAAAAGTATGTACTCTTTCAAAACTCAGAATTTGTATTTATCATTTTTAAAAAGTAACATTTAATTGTACAATACACATGAACTTGTTTAGAAAAGTTCATTTTGGTAAAAATCATTGTACACATGAAATAAGAATTTAGCATTTGTAAAATTGTATTCAATCAATGACATACATGTTTTCTTATCTGTCATCTTATTGTTTATCTCAAAGCATCCATCTGGTGTAAACTGAAATCCATCAGCCGCCCTGAGCCACGAGATCCCTACCCTGAGCCAGCAGTAGCTAAATCTCAGGGAAGAGACACAGAGCTGAGAAAGGCAGCCTCCAAGTCAGAAAGCAGCCCAGCTTTTAACATTTTTTTTTGGATTTCCTCCTCTATAATTTTCTGTATTCCCCCCCCCCCCCAAAATTATGAGTACTTTATTAATTAGAAAAAAATGGTCATTAGAGAAATGCAAATCAAAACCACATTGAGATACCATCTCACGCCAGTTAGAATGGCGATCATTAAAAAATCTGGAGACAACAGATGCTGGAAAGGATGTGGAGAAATAGGAACACTTTCACATTGCTGGTGGGAGTATAAATAAGTTCAGCCATTATGGAAGACAGTGTGGCGATTCCTCAAGGATCTAGAAACAGAAATTCCATTTGACCCAGTAATCCCATTACTGGGTATATACCCAAAGGATTATAAATCGTTCTATTATAAAGACACATGTACATGTATGTTCATTGTGGCACTGTTTACAGTAGCAAAGACCTGGAACCGACCCAAATGCCCATCGATGATAGACTGGACAGGGAAAATGTGGCACATATACACCACGGAATACTATGCAGCCATAAAAAACGACGAGTTCGTGTCCTTTGTAAAGACATGGATGAACCTGGAAACCATCATTCTCAGCAAACTGACACAAGAACAGAAAACCAAACACCGTGTGTTTTCACTTATAGGGGCACAGGGAAGGGAACAACACTCACTGGGATAGGTGGGGGTGGAGGGAAGGGGAAGCGGGGACAGTGGGGGAGCAGGGAGGATGGGGAGGGATAACACCGGGAGAAATGACTGATGTAGGTGAGGGGTGAGGGGGATGAGACAGCAAACCACCATGCATGTATGTACCTATGCAGCAATCCTGCAGGATACAGGACATGCACACGTACCCCAGAGCCCAAATACAATAAAATGAAAGGAAAAGTAAAAACACAATAACCTCATGAAACGATAACTCAGAGATTATTTATCCTCAACACACTAATGTATATGCTTAGCTAGGAAAGCAGGCACGTCAGCAACAGACACCACTGTCACAAAACACTGCATTAGGGGTAAATCCCTAGACTCATAGCATCAAGTCTTAGACTTAAATCTGACCATTCCTAGATGCACATGATTGGGCAAATCACTAAACTTCTTGGTCTTCATGTTGTCAGGGGACATCGTGATAATAACTCGATATCACAGAACAGACAGTGGGATAAGACAGTGGCTAAGCCACTGAGAACCCTCAGGAGATGTTCCTAGGAGTCTCTTCAGAAACGATTCTCTGATGAAAGCCAAAAGCATGCCTTTACTGCAGGACTTATCAGAGCCTTTACGAGGTTTTTTATCAGAGCTCTTGAGCCTGGTAATCCTCCAAGATGCGGTGCAGTGTTAGCGTTTCTCCATTCCCACTTGAGCACAGAGAATAAGTCTAGTGTTCCACAGCCAGCACGGAGGGAAATGCTGGGCCAAAATTGGGAGTAGAGATTACTTTCTTAATCATTGAAAATAATTTTAGAGAAATGTTAAGGCTTACTGCTCCAGGTGCCACACAGTGAGAGACACCTCCACTATTGGAGAGTGAGGAGGAGCCATCAGTCCCGAGAGGACAGGAAGACCACACTGAGGAAGGGGCCGTGTCCTGTTTGCCACTGTCTCCATCCTGCAGCTCAGCCCTATAGATGCGAGTGGCCTGAGCGCCTTCCTCTAGGCCAGGGGCCGCCCCTGCCTGCTCGCCCTTCTGTCCTGTCCTCTGCCACCATGACATCCACACGCCTCTCTCTCCCGTCCTCCCCACGCCCATATACGGAGCCTCTGCTGCTGCCTGCCCTTCGCCACCACCTCCCAGGCCTCCCAGCATAACTCACCCTTCAAGGCCAGCTCAGACTCTGCCTCTCCTCTGGAGCCTCCTCTGCCAACTGGGCCTCAGTTTCCCTAGATAATTCCAGTGCTAGGGGCTGACCACCTGCTCAAGGGCTTGAGCAACACGCCTCCAGTTGCTCTGAGCTCATCGAGGGCTGGGTCCATGCGTTCTACCTTGCGTGTCCTTCTTCAGCATCTAGCCCAGTGACAGGCCCAGAGCGGATCATGAGCCCACCCTGACCAGTTGGTATGGAGGCGGAAGCAACTCCATCCTGGATGCTGACCTGCCATGTTGACTTCTGATCTACCCCAGTTCCAAGAAAGCCTCTAGGATTTCTACTTTCACATACTTACCGAGAATCGTGCCCTTCGGTCAAAACAGCCTTGACATAAATCCTGCCCTTAGCAAATCCAGGTTATACCCCTTCCCTATGGCATAGAAGCCCTGGGCCAGGACGTGTTGGTGTGGGGTTCCACCATCTTATCCTGTGGCCACCTAGGAGGTGGCAGTAGGCTTGCATAGACCTGCTCACCACAGAATGGTTGGTGACATGGATGGTAGACCTCAGGGAAGCTTTGTGGAGCAAAGACTGGATTCTGAGCCATGAAGCCTGGTCTTCCCTCCCATCTCCACCCTCCTCAGCCCTGTGAAATGGACAAGTCACAGAATCTTTCTGAACCTAAATTTTCCCATCCAAAACACCAGGTTACTATTTCCCAGCTTGACCATCCATCTCAAAGATAGTTATGTGGGAAAGGCGCTTTGAAAACGCTGAAGCACTTCTCCAATGTCAGCCTTGCCGTTATTTTTCCGAGTTGGGAGCCCCTGACAAATGGAGTATTAATCACAATGATGGGGCTCTCTCTCCAGGGTCCAGCTGCTGACAGCTGGTGCTGAGTCCAAGACAGCGGGGGCAAGGTTCTCTGCCTCATGGAGTTCCCTGCGCCGTCATGGAATCCACCCAACCATCTGCTTCGTCTCGACGTGCTTGGCTCATTTTAATTCTTTTCCCAGAGCTGTGGGGATGATGGATTCCATGAGACAGGCCAGGTTTTCTGATACTCGTCCAGGGTTGTAGACAGAAAAGTCAACGAGCTTCCTCCGGGTCATGTTCACAGCCCAGAGACCTAAAAGCCAGCCTTACCTGGGGCTGCTTATTTTGTCAGACTCAATGACCCAGGGTGCCCTTTAAGGGATCTCTCTTGGAGCTGAGATGATGTAAAATTTGAGAATCAGAAGATGATATAATTTTAATGGGGGTAATTTGTAATTGGTAGCCAAACATGTTTATTCAAGTGAATCATAAGAAACGTCTCAAAACAGAGTAAGATTTTGGGCCAAAACTTGTAAGAAGGAATTTAGTGGGATAAGGGCAAAACAGACACCCATGTTGGGAAAATGTACCTGTCATCTACAGGATAGGGAACGCCAGGCTTCTCCGGGCACACAGGAAAAGAATCTCACATTGGAGATGGCTTTGAAGTTGATGGATGTTAGCAACAGCAGCAGAAAACAGCTACCAGTTGAGTAGCCTTTATCTGAAATGCTTGGGACCAGAAGCGTTTTGGATTTCAGGGTGTTTGTGTGTTTTTCTGAGACAGGGTCTCGCTCTATTGCCCAGGCTAGAGTACAGAGGCTTGATCACAGTTCCCTGAAGACTTGACCTCCCAGGCTCAAGCCATCCACTCACCTCAGCCCAGACTACAGGCACGCGACACCATGCCCGGCCACTTATTTTATCTTTTGTAGAGACGGGGTCTTGCTATGATGCTCAGGCCAGTCTCAGACTGCTGGACTCAAACAGTCCTCCCGCCTCTGCCTCCCAAAGTGCTGGGATTGCAGGCTTGAACCACCATGCCCGGCCTGGATTTCAGATTTTTTCAGATTCCAGCTAGCATCCCTAATTTGAAAATTCTAATTCCTACTTGCTGCAATAAGCATTTCTTTTCAGTGTCATGTGGACACTCAAAAAGTTTCCAATTCTGGAGCATTTCAGATTTTGGATTTTCAGATTCAGATACTCAACTTGCATTTCTTAAGCTGTGTTCGTAGAAGAAGCGTGAGCAGAAAAATTGAGGCTACTGAGCTCACAGTTGGTGTAGTATGTTCAGTTCCAGGTGCTTCTGAAAGATTTAGTCAAAACTTAGAAGGAGCCCACCAGGGTGAGTAGGGTGGTGAAGGGTCCAGAGACTAACAGCAGAGTACAGTGCTTAACCCAGAGAAGAAACTACACAAGGGGGCGTGGCTGTGTTTTCAGATCCGTGAAGGGCTGTGAGGCAGAGATGTCAGTTTTCTCTGAACCATCCTAGAGGGAGAGGCAGATGCCACCAAGCACCGCTGAGCTGTCTGGACCGCAGAATCCTGGCTGATGCCTGGAAATTCCCCACCGATGGCATTGCTTAATCAAAGCTTAGGTCATCTGTACTGCCTGGAAGTCTTACGGAGGAGTTTTCCACACTGGGTGGCTGCCTGCACCCAGTAACCTCTGATACCTCTCCTAGGTCAAAGAAGGCCTTTGGAAAAAAACTTTTTCCACCTTGATAAAAAGTAGCTTGCAACAGACTTTGTGTTGAGTTTGCCTTCGTTGGGGAAAAGAAAGAACATTCCATGCATGCTTTTAATAGGAAGAACTAAAAACAGGAAATATTATATTCAATAAGCATAATAAGTAACACTAATAAATATATTTCCACTGCATACTATGCCAGAAAGAGAAAAAATGAGAAAAAAAATAAAGATGAAGAGAAGGAATGATGGAGACAAAAGAGAGAAAAATAAGGCAAATAAATGGAAAAAGAGAAGAAGAGGGAGAAAGGAAAGCGGAAATGGAGGAAAAGAGTAAGGAATCAAAATATAAAGTGATATAATTTATTTCTTTCCTTCTCTTCCTTCCTGAAACATAATATATATCATGGCTAGTGCAAAGTGAAGGTTTTCTTTGTTTAATTTCAATATTATATTTATCAAAGACATGCATGTATTTTTAATAATTTAAAAAAGAACCATAGCTGGGTGGGGTGGCTTGTGCCTGTACTCTCAGGTGCTAGGAAGGCAGGAGGATCACTTGAGCCCAGGAGTTCGAGGTTGTAATGAGCTATAACTGCACCACTGCACTCCACCAAGAGCCCATCTCTAATCATTATTATTATCTCACCATCGTCGTCGTCATCATATACTTCTATAAGGCTTATCACAAAAGCAACACCTCCCCGACCTCTCAAACCCATATCCTGTTTCCCATGGGCCCCAATTTCCAACTCTTCAAGTCTTACTTTTTATATTTTGCTCAGCACTTCTCCTTCCTGCTGCTTGTGACGAAGCTGTCTTGCTTCCTCTTCACTGTCTGCCGTAATTGTAAGTTTCCTGAGGCCTCCTCAGCCATGCTGAGCTGTAAGTCAATTAAACCTCTTTCCTTTATAAATTATCCAGTCTCTGGCAGTTCTTTACAGCAGTATGAAAACACACTAATACAGCTTCCATTCATGTCTCCAGCCTGTTGAGATCTTTTGAATTCCAGTTGTGCTTTTGTAGTATTAGCTAATCCCAGCTTTGTGTCATTTATAACTCTGATCAGCTGGCCAACTGCTACAACCAAGCCATTGGTGACACTCTGTAACAGGACTGAAGATCTGGGCAACTTCACCAGCCCCCTCTCCCCAGCTGGACACTGATTCCCTGGGCACTGTGCCCAGCTCTCATAATCCCACTTGTAGCTCCTTGGCATTCAGCCTATATTTCTTCATCATGACCACAGGAATGGCATGAATCTTTTTGCTTCTCTGTGTGTATGGAAATTGTTTTAAAATATAATATATTAATATAAAAAGTGAGCTACGGTAAAACCAATAGATCAGGAGACAACATCCACTGAAAAGGTAGTTTGGGCTGGGCACAGTGGCTCATGCTTGTAATCCCAGCACTTTGGGAGGCTGAGGTGGGTGGATCACGAGGTTAGGAGTTCGTGACCAGCTTGGCCAACATAGTGAAATCCCGACTCTACTAAAAATACAAAAAATTAGCCGGGCATGGTGGCAGGCCTCTATAACCCAGCTACTCAGGAGGCTGATACAGGAGAATCGCTTGAACCAAGGAGGTGGAGGTTGCAGTGAGGCGAGATTGCACCATTGCACTCTTTTTTGAGACTCTGTCTCAAAAGAAAGAAAGAATAAAAGGTAGTTTGTTACTCACAGTTCCCTAGAGAAGGAAGCATGTCCTACTATAGGAAACAACATGGGAAGCCCCAGGGGTGATGAGGAAGTAGAAGGGGGTGGGGGAACTACAGGCAAGAGCCAGAAAGAATGGGCGAGGCAAGGTGAGCAGCTTTGGAGTTGGCTGGTATTAAATGAAGTTTAGCCTAACGCTACCTCCTTTTATATTTTAAGTTCAGCCTAAAGGTTTCTCTGTGCCAAGCAAACTATAACCTAAATGGAGATGTAAACAGACTGTAACCTACTCTTGTGCCAATCACTGAGTTTTAGCCAATCAAAGAGAGCCAACTGCTCGAGTTGTGTCAAATAAGGGAAACACTGGGCTGTAGCCAATCCAGCTGTTTCCGAACCTCGCTCCCATTTTCTGTACATCACTTTCATTTTTCTGTCCATAAATCTTTTTCCACTATGTGGCTATGCTGGGGTCTCTTTGAGTGGACTCTGGCTGGAGAGGTTAATTTGCATTTGAGAAGCACACCCTTTTTTTTTTTTGGCTTGAGAGAAAGTTACTTACTATCACTAGGAATTGGCTAGCCCTATCAGGGGCAGTCCTTCCAGGGTTAGCAAGGCCCTAGATGTCAAGGCACCTGAACACATAAGATCATAAGATAAAATACATGGTTAATGCACAAATACAGCTTACCTATCCTTCAGCTAATGGCGATTCAAGGAGAGGCTGTGAGACTCAGAGAGTCCAAGACACTGCAGGCCTGATCTCTCTCTCACCCAAAAGAAGAAGAGAGAGAAGAAAATGTGAGAATAATCTGGCCATGGCCAGGCACGGCGACGCACATCTATAACCCCAGAACATTGGGAGGCTGAAGTGAAAGGATTGCTTGGACCCAGGAGCTGGAGATCAGCCTGAGCAACATAGATGAAATACAAACATAAATTAGCTAGGCATGGTGGCACGCACCTGTGGCTACAGCTACTAGGGAGGCTGAGGTGGGAGGATCATTTGAGCCCAGGAGGTTGAAGCTGCAATGAGCCATGATTGCACCACTATGCTCCACCTGGGTAACAGAGTGAGACCCTATCTCAAAAAAAAAAAAAAAAGGAAAGAAAAGAAAAAGCTTGCCTACTATTTCCACAGGCCACTCCTATAAGCCCTCCCCTGGGGAGGCAGCAGTGGTTCAGCACATAAGGATGGTCAGCACTAAAGCATTCCATCCCTCTGTCCCTCGGGATGTTCCTTGGGAAGCGTGTGCACGTGTGTATATATACTTCTCAGGGTAGATCTGTTCCTAGAGCAATAGCTTCCCTAGTCTCTTAATTCCTATCACAACTTCTTATGCATGAAAACCTCAAATCAAAGTTCAAGACCGAGCTGGAATGAAGTCCTTCTGGAATTAAGTGTCTGTTTTCTACAAACCACTGAGATAAGCTAAAAAGGGCCGCTGGCAAGGGTAAGCAGCCATCCTGTGCTGTAGGTCATATTTCCCTCTCTCTGGATGAGTGCGTTTGGCCGCCTCCTCAGCAGTCACTGGCTCTCTGCCACACACATGCCAACACGTGCCTGACAGAGCAGACTGTGTGCACCGGGACTTTAGCACGTGTCGGGAGTAGGCTCGTGAATCTCAGTGTCTCTGCCTAGAAACTGCTGGTTCCTTGAATGAGTACAGGGCAGCTGCCAGGGAGCCAGCAACCAAATCTCAGCTGGAGGCAGGGGCTGAGTCCCAAAAACTGCACCTAAGCAACAATGGCCCTTCCACCCTGCTGTCCTCACGTCTGCATGTGACACCAATGCAGCCAGCAGGTGCCATGAGCATGGGAGCATTGCTGAATCTCCAGCCGGTCCCCTTCCTTGGGTGGCCATCCACTGCCACAGCAGATGGAAGAGAAAGCCCCACCAGGCTCCTCTCCTTCCACAGCCCTCCACACGTGCTGTGATCCCAGCATGCACATTCTGGATCAGTAAGAGCAAGTAAGAGGAACTCTCTGGTCCCTTCCAACTCTTATGTCTCCCTGCCTGCAGGCTGATGGATGGACTCCTCCTTTGGAAACCATCCTCCCTGGAAGCAAGGCCTGTTTTCCTGTTTTCTTCTCTGAGGGTGCCTCTCCCCACCACATCTCCTAAAATTGGACGTGCACAGAGTCTGTTCCAGGGCACAGTTGATCTGCAGGCTGGCAGCAGAATCTCAGGAGACCACAGGCCTGCTGCTGAGGGTTGAATCCAAGCGTCCAGGTGCCAACATGCCAAGCCCACACCCTTGGCCTCCCTGAGCCCTGTAGGCTTCCCAGGACCCTTTGGAGCTAATGTTCCAGCATTCAGACCAGCACACCCGAGCCTCTGGTCTCATGTTACTAAAATAGCTTGGCGCACATGCAAAGACGCATGGGGGCTCCCACGCTTCCCCTTCCAGGCACCAGGCCTTCTTTACGCCTCATGCTTCCTGATGAGGCAGAGAGAGCACTTCTCAGAGAGTCGGGGATCCATCAGTAGCAGGATGTTAAAGGAATATTGAATCCTTCAAGTACACAGCAGTTTTCCTAAGAGTTGTCAATATATTCTACATGGAAAGGAGCTTTTGCAGGGAGTCAAGAGCTAAAGGGAGGAACAGAGCTAAGAAGGTTTGCCTGGTAACCCAGGGACGCGCCATCACACAAATCCGGGGGCACCACTCACACGGTATTCACTGGGAACTGCTCACACTGCGGCTGCGCAGTTTTCTACCTGCTTTTCCTTCCCAATTCTTCATCCAGTCCCATGGTCATTTGGGACACAGCGCCCTACACTTTTGGCAAAGTTCAAGTTAGTCTCTTAGCTTGTGAGAACCAGAGGGACCATTACGTTGATGGCATCCATTCCTCCACTTTAGAGATAGGGAGGCTGTGGCCTCAACTCATCCGGCATCCTCGGGGGAGGCAGGGCCTGGATCCGGCGCCTCTGACTTCCTGTCCTGCAGCACTGCCCTGCGTGTGGCTGCCGACCTGGGAGCCTGCTGGAAACGCAGATTCTCCAGCCCCAGCCCCAGACCTGCTGAATCAGAACCAGCCTTCGATCAAGACACCCTGGTGACTGGCATATAAAAGTTCTAGAAGGATTGATCCTTAACCACACCCAAGAAGAAAGGATAGAGCACTCTA